ATGAGGTTATTTTAGGGAAGAGAATAAGAGATACAGCCTACAGGGGTTACAGGTAGAGGACGCATAGTATTTATATTTGGGTTTAGAGATTTAGGATATGAGGTTTATTCATTAGAAGTTAGAGAATAATATTATATTTTACATTCTAATTAATTTATGATCTGAATAGAAATATCCCATTAATAATATTTCAAAGCATTATACACTAAAAGCATATTCATGATTTTATGTATGGTGGGTCCAAATTTTATTTTAATATCGTAAGAAATATTTAAACCACTCGCAGTATCCCACAATGTGTTCTCAATTCTCATATTTGAAAAACTTGTGGGATGCATTATATGACATCAATCTCAATAATCCTATCAAAATAATAATTCATAATTTGTTACCGGCCCATTAAATATCAAAGAGTGTTTTTCACGTGGCTAATTGCTTTTATCTCAAAATTGAAAACAAATATTCTAAAAAATTGAAAACAAATATTCGCCTTGTTTTTATCTCAAAATTAGTAGGTATCTATTCGCCTTGTTTTTATCTCAAAATTGAAAACAAATATTCTAAAAAAAGGAGCGAGCTCATCGTGCTCTATAAATTTATGAGTAGGAAAATTTCATAACCAAACATACCACCTTATACCACCCCAGTATATGGTGTTAATTGGTAGTAGATGGTGACTAAAGATGATAAATGACGATTAATATATTCCTACTATAATATATATATACAACCATTTTACACTACGATATATTTATACCAACATGTATACGTACTTCCATATCAATATATCACCATGGTATAATCTTATGTAAAACAAAGCATTACCACCATGGTTTGAATGGTAATATATATCTCATTTTTTTCCAAAAAATATCAAAGTATATGTTATTTTGAAAAACACGATTAATTGATTTTCTATGCAAAAAATGTATTACGACTTGAAACGAAAGAGATATTGTATAGTACAATTAATTAGGGAAAAGTGATTTGTTTCCCATGTATTATTGTTGGGATTGTTATTATTATGCAAAATTGAGTTATTGACTTGATCTACTCGGGGTTTAACTACTTTAAGTAAAAAAAAAAAAAAGAATTTACAATGCTTCATAGAACCAATGCTTTTGTTTCCCATTGTTTAGGATACAAATTGAACTTCGATATTAAACTTTGTGAAACAATTTAGTTTGTACCTATATCTTTTGTACAAATTTCTTCGTGATACAATTTGAACTTGTACTGTTATATGCTACAAGTTCAATTTGTACCTATACGTTTTCTTACAAGTTCATTTATGGTACAAGGTGAACTTGTGCTTTTAATGTTATGATACAAATTCAGTTTGTGACAATATATTTTCGTACAAATTCTTTCATTGAAAAAAAATGAACTTGTACCTTTAACATTAGGATAGAAAGTCAACGAATACCTGAAAGCATCAATACTTTTTTAGCATAGTAAATGGGCAATAATAAGAATACTATCGTTCATTAGAAAAATGCAACTGGTTGTTAGAGAAGTTATTGTTGTTGCAACTAGTTGCTGGAGACGAAATGCATACGGTTGGCATACACAAATGTGGAATGATAAGACCTATAAGATAGTCCGCTAGTGGTAATTGATCTATGACAGTCTTTTAATTTAAGAAATATCAATTTTCTAAGGAAAATTGTTAATAGATTACATGATCATCAATGAGTATATACAATTATTCTTATGGTGTTGCTGGAGCTAAGTTGATGAAAGTGAAGTTATACTTATAACCTCTATTTGGACATTGAAAACATTTAAATGTTTTTTTTTCCGAAACATGCAGTACGATATTTGACACTTTATCGAACATTATATGTATAGCGAATTATTTGCGGGGCAGAAGGACGACGAGAATCGGCTCGCGCATGACACTCTCTGTGGCCTAGCTAGCTCCCTATGCACTTATAAGTTTAATTTTGTGGGGTTTGTGATGACAGAAGTTTACTAAATGCATTGGCTATTTGAGGCAAATTGTTGGTGTGCAAGTTGCAAGTAGCTAGGTGGCAGAGACAAAATGCACATGGTTGGCATAGACAAATATGGTGTATAAGTATCTTTAAGACCTGTAAAGCTAGTGATCAAGTAGTGTTGTTAAGATATCTAATTAAGGCGAATCATAATGTAAGAAATATCAATTTGTTGGTATTGCCCGCCTTGAGCTTGACAGAGGGGGAGGAGACAGGAACGGGAATTATATTAAGATTACTCAAATCAGAGTTGATAAACTAATTAAATTAATAGATTGTATAGTCCTTGGGAGCGAACTTTATGGTCACTAACCATGAGTAACCTGTCCACATCAGCATGACATCAGTAGTCTCTCTCTCCTGGAAAGTCTTTTATCTTTTAATCTTTAACGGACGATTTCTCACTTGTTTTAAGTCGAATTTTAATTTTTTTACACAGATAAATCAGATTAAATATGCTCTTCAAAATGATATCCACTTTGATATATTGTTAGTACAAAAAAAAAGTGAATAATTTTTTACCAGTCATTACCATATGATTTGCTCCAATTTAATACCATATGGTAAGAAGGTTGAATACATGATAGTAGGAGTATATTAACTGTCATTTACGACTTTCATCATTGTTTACTACAAGTTACCACAAGTTACCAATCACATACCATAGTGGTAAAGTATGGTAATTTTTTATCTAGTATTTTTTTCACCCAAAAATTTATAGATCTAATAGATCATGATGAACTCGTTCCTTCTGAGCAAACGTTTTAAAAAACGACTTAAAAACGAATAAGTTACAATATGGTATGTAGTTGGTAAAAAAAAACGTTTCTCGAAATATATTGAAAATTGATCTCATTTTGTAGAGCACAACGAACTCATTCCATCTGTGCAAAAAAAATTAAAATCCGAGTTAGAACGAAGAAGATAAGAGTCAATTAAGAAAACTAGGGAAAATAAAATACCTTTAATTAACAACCCTTAAATCTGAATTTTCCGGACCCACTTAAATCTAAAGGTTCAGATTTAGTTACTCATAAGTTAGTAACCATTGGTTACTGACCCTATTCTAAGTCTAGTCCTTGCTATTCTTCCCTCTTCCTTCTCTGCTCCAAAAGTGGTAATAATAATAACAAGGGCTTAATTGCAAGTTTGGTCACTCGAATTGCTTACAAATTTCACGTTTGCCTCTCGAATTGATTTATTCCATTTATAGTCACATGAATTAGTTGAACAATCCAAGTTCGGTCACTCTCCGTTAACCTCCGTTAGACTCCGTTAATGACGACTGTTAAGTGATGACGTGGCTAACAGAAAGACAGTCAATATATTTTAACATTAAAAAACGACGACCCGACTCGCCAGCTCAGCCTTACCCACCCTGTCAGCCATTCTTGCCAACCCGCGAACTAACCCAATTAATTGACCCTAAACCCAAACCTGAGACCCAACCCCCCTAAAAAGTAATCGAAAACAGATGGTTAGGGCATTTCCCTTACTCCATCTTCGTCCTCTCATCCTCCCGCGCCCATCCATCTTCGTGTGCCGATCCTTCGTCGACCGCTTCGGAGCCGCTGCCGTCACCGGCCCTGCCCCTCCGCCCGTTACCACTGCCAGGCTGTTGTTGTTACTACTCTCGTTTTTCTGGGCAGAGGAGTCCGACAGCGGCCCAGATCTGATGGCAAGGGAGGCGTCGACATGGTGGGTGGAATTCGACGGCGTGGCGGCGGGAGAAGGGGAAGAAGAAGAGGAATTGGTAGTAGTAGTAGTGGTTGGAGTTGTAGAAGCAGTAGAAGGAGCAGAGGTGGGAGTATGGTAGAGGGGGGGGGGGGGGGGGGGGGAAGTAAGAAGTAGCTGTAGAACGGGAGATGGAGCCGATGAAAGGAGGAGGATGAGAAGATTGTCCACCTCCACCTCCGCCTCCGCCTCCACCTCCACCGCCGCCATCGAAGCGGAACTGTTGGTACTGGAGAAGATGGTGGTGGAGATGGTGAGGGTGGGGTTCTTGGGAGGGACTGTTGTTGCTATTGTTTTGCTGATGCTGCTGGTTATTGGGATTGCTTTGTGAATCTGTGAGCTCCATTCTTTTTTGTTTGTGTGGGGAAGGGGGAGGAAGGAAGGGTGGCTGGCCTCCTTGTGGGGAGAGCTTTTCGATTGTGTGCGATGGAGAGAGGCGGCGCGGGAGCATGAGAGGGCGAAGATGGAGGAAGGGAAATGCCCTAACCATCTGTTTTCGATTTACTTTTCAGGGGGTTGGGTCTCGGGTTTGGGTTTAGGGTCAATTAATTGGGTTGGTTCGCGGGTTGAGCAAGAATGGCTGACAAGGCGGGTAAGGCTGAGCTAGCGGGTCGGGTCGTCGTTTTTTAATGTTAAAATATGCTGACTGTGTCTTTCTGTTAGCCACGTCATCACTTGACGTTTAGGGTTTGGGTTTAGGGTCAATTAATTGGGTTGGTTCGCGGGTTGGGCAAGAATGGCTGACAGGGCGGGTAAGGCTGAGCTAGCGGGTCGGGTCGTCGTTTTTTAATGTTAAAATATGCTGACTGTGTCTTTCTGTTAGCCACGTCATCACTTGACGGTCGTCATTAACGGAGTCTAATGGAGGTTAACGGAGAGTGACTGAACTTGGACTGTTTAACTAATTCAAGTGACTATAAATGGAATAAATCAATTCGAGTGGCAAACGTGAAATTTTAAACAATTCGAGTGACCAAACTTGCAATTAAGCCTAATAACAAGATTAAAAGATAGTACTCAAATGCGAGATGGAAGCAGGAAGACTACCAATCCTGAAACGCGATATCCCGATTAGGACAGGACGCTTCTTCCGGTCTTAGCTAGAATAAGATATTACACTGTTATCAGCTACTTGTGCAAGAAACGAACAAACACAGTCAATGCGAGTAAAAAGATGCAGGAAAGAGTGAAGTTTCGCCCCGACCTTCATCCAATCCAATCTCCCTCATGCTCATATATAAAGGGCCGGACCTCAACCCCGATCCCCAACTCCCACTCTTCATTCTGCTTCTCTTCCTCCTCTAAATTCCTATCTACTCGGCCCGCCGGCAGTATATATATATAAATGGAAAACCAGGTGGGTGGTCGTCGTAGGCCGGAAAGCGCGATCCAGGAGCTCCTGAGAGGACAGGAATTCACCTGCCAACTGAAGCTGCTCCTAACCGTTGATTCCAGCCAATCATTCCTTGCCCGCAAAGGCGGATGCGCTCAAGACCTGGTCGGAAAGATCTTGTCCACATTCACTCACACCATCTCGCTCCTCAACACTGCCACTGCTACAATTCCCAATGTCGACTCCTCCGATCAGCTCTCTCAACTCTCTCAGCTGGCTGGGCCCCGCAAGTCGTCCGACATCTCCACCGCCGAAACTAGCACAAAGAAAAGGTAATTAATTAATTTAATTATAACCATTACTTGCCTAATTGATCATTACCTTAATTTACTAATCTAATTAAGCTGTTTTACTAATCTCATTCATTCGCTAATTGCAGGAAGACAGCCGCAACATCCCAGGAATCGTGGGTAAAAGAGAGCCCGACCGTGGACGACGACGGGCACGCGTGGAGGAAGTACGGGCAGAAGACCATTCTCAACTCCGACTTCTCCAGGCACTACTACAGGTGTACTTACAAGTTGGACCACAACTGCCCGGCCACAAAGCAGGTCCAAATGATCCAAACCCGGCCCAGCCCGCTCTACCGAACCACCTACTCGGCCCACCACACCTGCACCCACTTCCGTACCTTCCACCGTCCTTCTCACCAACACTTCCTGCTGGACCCCGTCGATGATGATTCGTCCAACCGCACCAACATCATCAGCTTCAGCAACGGCAAAAACGTTGCTACCCCGTTTCTCACCTCATTCGCCGCATCATCATCTGCTCCTCCGGTTGTGAGGCGGCAGCAAACGTCCTCGTCGTCGAGCTGTGATCATCAAACGGCCCAAGACCGACCAGCGGCGTGCTCTGAGGGCGTCGACGACTACGACGTGTTCTCCTCGCTTGTTGATGGCGACTTTGATCAAGAGTTGTCAGCTGCAATATTTCATGACAACTGCGACAGCAGCAGCAGTGCTTTTATGCGGATGATGATGATGATGCATTCCGGTGATGACCTTGGGGGCTTCTTGGTTTAATTTAATAATGCCCCTGAAGGCTACAGTACTTAGCGACTTTTCATTCCAACTTGTAGAAGACATAAATACATACAGCTGTTTATGTAGAGTTAGATGCAGCGGTGTCATTTTAAGTACGGCGAGGTTGCACGATGACGAGCTAAATTGTTTATGTTAGCAACTAAAATATATTAGTTAAATTTCAATTGTACCAACGGTGTTTTCGTCCCTAAATTTAACTGTATGTGCTAAATGGAAATTGTACGTACCAAATGAGCAGTCCACTTCAACACATTTGTTGAGTCATGGGGCACTGAATATTCGTGACCTACCCATATTCAAATAATTTTCCGGACAAAACAGAGGGGTGATCAATGGCGAACCCAGAATTATCAGTGTCGCCAATAAAATACTATAATAATTAAAAAATTAAATAGAAATTAATTCTATAAACCTCACAATGTCATGTTTATAACAAATAACGATTACTTTTCATCTACTAAAATGTCTCTAAAATACATTCATCACTTATGCTGCAAAGTAAATCTTTTTCAAATATACATAACTAAACAATCATTCACAAATTGGTCACTTAACCGATCTAAAAAATCGTTCTTGTTTATCTTCATAGCTGAAAAATGCTCTTTCGCAACTTGCAGTTGCAATAGATAAATTCAATACCAACTTCAAAAGCAGGTATTCTGGTGGGTCTCGGGCTACTCTTGGCCGTGGCCGCTTGGGCCTTAGTGTTTTTTTTTTGTTTCTCCCTTAACCAAAGCACCAGACACAACACACATGTACATTGGTATAGCCTGTGGGTTTTTTTAATAGCAAGTGATAGGATTATGAGTTATTTTAAACATATTAAAAGGAATTATTATTAATTAAATTTTAGGGTTAATATATTTGTATGACCTGAACTTTGACCATAATAAACATTCTGGCCAATCTTTTCGATCTATAATATCCTAGCCCAAACTATACATCAAAATAACTATATTGGCCAAACTCGATGTTTGACCGTTATCTTGGACGGTCAAACGCGTTGACTAACGGTCAACGTGCCATGTCATCGCCCGATCATCATAAAAACCACTAAAATATTCACAATTTACACATATTTTCTAATTTTGAATTATTACAAATTAAATTAAAACAAAAATAAATAAAAAGCTGAAACCCCACCAGTGACTCCCCTCCGTCTACTCCCCCAACCTCTTCTTCGATTTCCGATTTCTCAACTGCCTCTTCCTCCTCTTTTCGATTTCCCTGTTCTCAAGGTCCGTTTCTAGCTTCAATTCCCATCCATCGATGAAACCCTCCTACTACCGGGTCTAAGAGGAGGAGGAGCTCTTCAACCGGTGTCTGCTCGATTGCAAAGAATAAAGCGGTCGATGAAGGGAAACCAGCGGCGGATTTTGCGAAACAGGAAGCAAAAGAGCTTGAAGCTCCTCTCCCTATCTCTCCCGTCACTCCTTTCCTCTACGCTCCCCGGCGGAGCGCCTGACTTGCTTCCAGATCGCCGTCCATCGATGGATCCTCTAGGCTCCCGGGTGCAAGAGGAGGAGCGCTTTAGCCAATGTCAACTTGGAGAATGAAGCGGTCTATGAAGGGAATCCGACGGCGGTGGGAGTTGCTAGCGAAGAAAACATGGTTGCTGATGGGGTGAAACAGGAAGCGAAAGAGGAAACCCCTCTGACTACCGGGCGCAAGAGGCGGAGTGCTTCAGCCGATGTCAGCTCGATTGCGGAGGAAGGGAATCAGGCGGCGGAGAGGGTTGCTAGATGGAGTGGGGGTTTCAAATTTTTTAAAATTTTGTTTTAATTTAATTGTAATAATTCAAAATTAGAAAATATGTGTAAATTATATATATTTTAATGATTTGATGATGAGCGGGAGATGACGTGGCATGTTGACCGTTAGTCAACGCGTTTGACCGTCCAAGATAAAGGTCAAACATCGGGTTTGGCCAATATAGTTATTTTGATGTATAGTTTGGGCCAGGATGTTATAGATCTAAAAGATTGGACATGATGTTTATTATGGTCAAAGTTCAGGCCATACAAATATATTAACCCTAAATTTTAAGATTGATTCATTTAAATAATAAAATTCTTTCAGTCTAATGAAGGTGTGTCGCCTATAATTATCGAAGGGTTGTCGGAAGTTCCAATCTAAAAATTTTTGTACCAAAAATATATAATTTCTTCACAAAATTCTCTGACGAGGGTGTGTCGTCCGACACTCCCTCCTTTGCCTTAGGTCCGCCCCTGGGAGTGATCATGCAACTCCTCTTCTTCATACTCTCTTGAGTCTTGCCTATGCTATGAGATATGAATAATAGAAAAGATAGGGATCCTTCCCCTTCGAAGAACAAAGTAAATTAGGAATGCCAAATAAAAACAATAATTAGATCGCTAAAATAAGAGATACTAAAATCGTATAAACGGTAATTGTTTCTATTTATTCATAACTTTTCCCAATTAAATTTAACAAATATATCTCGTTCATTTTTTACTTGGAGTTCAAATTATTTTTGCATAGAAAAATTAGATTAATCGTGCTCTTAAAAAATGACATACATAATAGATCATGATGAACCCGTTCCTTCTGTACAATTTTATTTTAAAACTTGACTACTTAAGAAGGTATATATTATAAAATGATACCAATTGATAATAAGGTGGTAACCAGTGAAAATGGGTGGTACAATTGTTTTTATTACAATATACTAAAAATGGAAATAATTTTATAGCTCGCAAAAATATGAGGCAAATATAGGCAAAATGTGATTAAATATGCACACAAATCCCAAAGATATTATATATGAAATAAGCATAAATTAAAATTAATTATGAAATGTGCATAAAGTTAAATTGTGTAAATTAGGTATTATCATATTGTTTCACGGGTGGGTTTTTTTAATTTTCCTCAACATACAATTAGTTTGATCCAGTTATTAACAATTCAACCGGTAGTTTGAGGCAATTTATTGTTGAAACTTGTTGCCTGAACAGGGATTTGGTCCAATGGTGATATCACTTGTATTTTGGTATTGGAAATTTCAGATTCGAATTGGTTAAGAAGCATCTACTTAAAAACCTAATCTATTATCACTCAAAAAACTTATTAGACAGAATGCATGTGGTTTTTTTTTCTTTTTTTTTCAGAATGCATGTGGTTGGCATACACAAAAGTGGCAACATACATTGTATTACCGGCGGCCGGAAGAAATAACAATTTGTTGTTATTAACAGAAGAAAATATATTTATTTTTAAAAAGAAAAAGACGGGAATAGAAGGGCTATGATAAAGAATCACCTCGTATAGTCCAATTTTTGTTCTTCCTTTCTCTGCTACAAAACAGATAAGATGAGGAAGATTACTCGTAAATCAGAACCAGAAAGGTTGCTATTCAAATGTGTCATCCCGATAAGGAAAGGGACAGGGCGTATTTCTCCTGGCCCTCTAGGTACATTCTTCTATAGGTACGTCCAATTATCTGCTAGAAGCTTACAAAGTATATTCAAATGGAAAGTAAAAAAAATGTGCAAACTAACTCCTACATAGCTGCTGCTGCGTGCAGTTTTGACCATTTTTATATATTGGTTACGCGTGGGGATGCATATATAGTCGGCAGAGCATTTTTTCTTAAGGAAGTTTCAGGCCCAGGTTCACCATACTTTCCTTCTCTAATTACATGACATCTCTCTCCGCAATCCAATTCATTTCCCCGCACGCACGCTTATAAATAGAAAAAGGCCTCCAACTCCATTCCCTCACTCTTAACCAGATTGAGCTGAAATTGAAGCCAGAACAAAAAAATGGAAAGCGCGATCCAGGAGCTCCTAAGAGGTCGGGACTTCACCTGCCAGCTCAAGCTTCTCTTCACTGCCGATTCCAACCGATCATTCCTCGCCCGCGAAGGCGGATGTGCAGAAGACCTGGTGGGGAAGATACTCTCCACCTTCACTCACACTATCTCGTTCTTGAGCACTACTGCTGCGGCTACAACGACTGCGAATGTCGACTCCTCCGATGACGCCTCTGCTGGGCCTCGCAAGTCAGAGAGCTCCTCTGCCGACAATAGCAGCAGCAAGGCCTTCTCCCGCAAGAAAAGGTAATCATTGTTAGCTTTACTAATTTAACTTCTTTTACCATCCATGCACCCAAATTGCACTAGTACCATTCTGTGTGATATATAACTTTACATTAACATACATAATTAACACAAGTAAGGAGCACTTCTACTATGTTATATAGCATTGGTGCTTTAATGTACAACTTGAAGTTGTACCATAACATTAAATGTATAAGTTTAGGTTGTACCATAAAAAAGTTTGTATCATTATGTTATGGTACAACTTTACAACTTGAAGTTGTACCATCACATAAAGGTACAAGTTTAAGTTGTACCATAAAAGAATTTGTACAAAAAGTATAGGTACAATCTGAAGTTGTACCATAACGTTAAATGTACAATTTCAAGTTGTACCATAAAGAAAAAACTTATAGCACCAATGCTATATAGCATTGTAAAATTACTCCACAAGTAAGTGGTATAAGATCCATCTTTGAACATCATACAATATAACTTGAGTTATTAGGACTAGTTGGTCTTTAACATGGTATCAGAGCATGATTTGTCATTGAGGTCACGTGTTCAAGTTATCACGCACTCTAATATTAACCGTTGTCTTAAAGCACATGGTATGGTGGAACTGTGCAAACTTCAAAGTCCATGAGTTGCTGGCTTGCCTTTGAAGGGAGCGTGTAAGAAAATGGTTCACTAGCTATAACCACTTGACTTATTGGGATAACCTGGTTTATGATATGGTATCAGAGCTTTCTGTGATGATCGAAATGTCTTGTGTTTGAATCCCGCCGACTCCCATTCGTGAAACGTAACACATGGTATTCTTGTGTTCAGTACCTGTGCAAACGAAAGCTCTTATCATGAGTTGATTGGCATTCATTTGTTAGTTCGTGGTAAAAATTCTATTATTCAACCTCTTGGTTTGAATTTTTTTTCTCCTCTTTTACTTACCCGTACGTTTATCGCCTTCAAATTGATGATTTGCAGGAAGACAGCCCCATCTCAACAATCATGGATAAAAGAGAGTCCAACCCTGGTGGACGACGGATACGCGTGGAGGAAGTACGGGCAGAAGACGATCCTGAAGTCGGAGTTCTCTAGGCACTACTACAGGTGCACTCACAAGTTGGAGTACAAGTGTCCAGCCACCAAGCAAGTCCAAATGATCCAGGACGAACCCAACTCGATCTATCGAACCACCTACTCTGCCCACCACACTTGCAACAATCACTTCCGTACCCTCCACCCATCTTCTCATGACCAAAACTTCCAGGTGGATCCAGTCCATGATTCCGGCAGCTCCCACCTTATCAGCTTCAACAACATCAACAACAACAACATTACCCCTTTTCTTACCTCATTCTCTGCACCATCTGCTCCGGTAGCGAAGCAACAACATGAATCGTTGGGCGACGTCGCCATGTGTCATCCTCAAACAGGAAACCTACCGGCAGCAGCGTCCTCTGGAGGCGAGGACGATTACGATATGTTGTCCTCTCTTGTTGATATCGACTTCGATCAAGAGTTTTTCGACTGGGTTGGGACGACAAGATGACACCTGCAACAGTAGCAGTAATTCCATGCAAAATGATGATGATGCACTCTAGTGATGACTTTGGTGGCTTCTTGGTATGAGGAGTCTGCACTGCAGCTTGCTGTTTACTATGAGAAGAGGAAACGATTCTCATTTTATTTCACCAAAAGTATATAGGAACATTTCGTTTTGATGACGTTTAAATTTCAATGAGTTGATCACAATTAATAAAGGGAAATGGGGCGTAGGGGCACACTTGGCATTATGAAAAATTGTGAGAGGGGAAGCAGGAACAACGTGTATTGTGCAATTTTATGGTGGGATGTGTGGGGATAAAAAAAAATCCGCACCACAAACACAAGAACACATACCACAAAATCTAGACCACAACCCTTAGAAGGGAGACTACAACCTCTCCACACCACGAGTTTATAAAAGCATAACATTCACTACTTCCTTGAAGCAAATCACAAGTATTATGAAATACACGACAAGTCCAATAAAGCACACCACAAATTTATTAAAGTGGACAACAAGCCTCATAAAGCATACTACAAATTTATTAAAACAAGTTTCTTAAAGTAGACCACAAGTTTCATGAAGTATACTAGAACCCCATGGAACACACCACAAGTTTCTCAAAATATATCAGAAGAGTTCTTAACAGCCGATCTATTTGTAAATTTTAAATAGCTAAGTATCAAAATGTGAGAAAAAAAATTTATGTTCTAAAATATAATTTTTCATCAATATCTTTATGATTTACATGTTAAAAATCAATTTTAGGCACTAAATATTACGATTGATTAAGTTTAGGTAGGTACTAAACTGTAATTTGTATGTGAACCTGCATGAAAGCAATGTAGAATGTAAAGGGGGAAGGGTAAGCATATATATCACAAGATTCTAAAATCATATCACAAGTTCATTAAAACATACCAAAAGTTTATCAAAGCATACCACAATTAGCTACAGATGAAATTGTATCTTGATAGTCCATCCCGTTGCACGCCATGAAGATATGGAGTATTGGTGAATGTTATTTTTGGGATCAAATGGCCTTTTTCCTCCTAGGAGAGGCCATTCCCCTTTCGCTAATTGGCTTAAGTTTGATAGCCGCTTGAAGAGCGATTTTAGCTAGTTCTAATACCCAAACCCAGGGGGACTACAATCGTGCATTTGAGAATAGCTGGTATTTATAAAATCGATGTCCTCATTTTAAGGACCGTCTATAGTCCCACAATTGTACCCATCATGACCATCCTCACTGCATCACTCACAAATGAAGAGTTGTGCGACAGGGGTGTTTGGACTCATCTTGAGTTCTTGCACCTCCTTTTCTACAACAACAACAACTTGTTTAGCTATGCTGGCAAGAGAGTCATCTGGATCTTGTACTATTTTCATTGTCGCAAGAGCAGTTCTCCTCGACCAGTTTATGGATTTGGTGGTCATTGACGCATAATGCTTGAGGGGCGTTGCACAGTCATTTGAGACACGTCACCTTAGACAGCTTTATTCACCATCAACGTGGTGTTTAGATGGAGGTCCTTATCAGAGATGTCGGTTACTTGTTCTTGTGTGAATCCATGATGAGGGCAATCACAAAGTAGACTTGATAACGCTCCCATGTCTCGTACAACAACTCGTGATGTCACTATTTGAATCAAGCAATTTGGTCCCTAAGATCCTCAATTTTCCACGGAGGGAAAAAAAAACTCCTCGATAAAGGCTTGGGCCAACGTCTCCCATATTCGGAATGTTCCCTATGGTTGGCAAGATAGCCAGCTCGTTACCTTCCCCGTAAGAGAGAAAGGGAAGAGACGTAGTTGTATTGCGTCCGCCACCACGCTGGCTATTGTGAAGATTCAAATAATTCTAGAAATATTTTGAAGTGCTTGAGAGGATTCTCATTATTGTGACCCTCAAAACGTCTAACATTCTAGATCATGTGGATCATTGGAGTGCGCAACTCAAAATTAGGCACGTTGACCTGAGGCAGGACGATGCCGAAACTAAAGTTCACAGCTTGTGATTTTGAGTACTCTTAGAGAGTTTATGTCATGCCTCTAGATGATGGGCGTTCAGCGGGAGAGCAATTGCTCTCTACTTCTGAACTTTCATCGAAGAGGGGATTGGAGTGAAGAGAGGTAAACTGCTTCTTCTTCCCATTCCTTTTTCTTGGAGGTGGCGTCTTTTGATCTTATGAATCAGACGTACCACTCCTATATTTACGACCTTGCGCCAGTCTATTATGTCTAAACTTCTTGACTTCTGGCGCCAATTTCTGTTGAGGGTACGACCAGTGGAAGATAGGAAACATAACAAGTGTCTCGTTTCTTAAGGACATGATCATATTTCCTTGGGACTCTCGCAGAACCCTTACTTTGGAAGAAAGGTACAATTCTATTTAAGAAGAGGATGATTTAGGAAGTTGAGTTTTCTTTGGTTTAGTAGAAATTAGACGTTCAAAATGTAAAGCAGGTGAAGAAAAGTAAAACTACACTGCTAGAGATGTAAGAGATCAATGAAGAAAGGCGTTTCATACGCATCAATCCCTCTAGGTCTCCTAACCGTGTGCCCTGAATAATTATAGCATACTAGCTGCCAATTATGGATGGCAATTTGAACCCGCCTCGTCAGGTATTACCCGACCTTACCCGCAATGGGGCTGGTATTACTTGACCCGCAGTAGCGTGGGGCGAGGCATGGGTATCTACTTCCGACCTGTCCTGCCCCACCCCATCCCGCCTCGTTCTGAACCCGTTCTATCACAAAAAATTTATAGTATCTATTCGTATTTCTCCTATTTTGGGGTTTTTCAAATAGTTAGACTTGATCTTTCAATTAGTTAGACACAATTACCCATTCTATTATTATTATTATTTTTCATTCATAAAGTGTTTTTCCCTTCCGCTTTGTCGTAAAAAGTAAATTTGTGCGTATATTATTTTCAAATAACATGTTAGAGTGGGTCGACCCATCCCGACCCGAACCCGCGCGGGTATTACTCGCACCAACCCATAGTAGCGTGGGGCTGGGCATGGGTATTGAGGTACATGCCCCGCCACATTGGCATCATTACTTCAGATTTCTTATATTGATAGATGTCACCTTGTGTCGAAGCATTTACTTGAACTAATGGGTGATAAGGTCCATTTGAATTTATTCATTGAGGCAACACGCCATTTGATCGAATGACATTCATTGGAGTAACACCACTATTTCTAGTCCCTTCCTAAACAACTAGGACTTCGAGTCTTGTACTCAAAGTAGTGCAAGATCGACTAAGCTTTCATTAAAATCAACAAATAACGAAATAGAGGAAATCAAACATAAACGCATAAGAATAAGAACAATTGTATTACACCAAATATCAAGTTTACATGGACAGAACCCCTAGGGTCCACGTACTTACACAACTAAGGAACTTAGCCGACCATGGGGAGGGTGTCTGGAGCTAGTGTAAAATGAAGGATCCATAACACCATAGAAGTTGGCGACTAGAACAGAAAATGGGTCTAGTGTAGCCGATTTCTCCGCCAATTCCCCTTGATGGTGGCTTCTGTCAGAACAGAAGCGTGGCAATCGATAATCCCAACCAACACGAACGAACACAAATTTAACGTGGTTCAGTAACACAATGTGTGCTAGCTAATCCACGGGCAGGGGAGAACAAATTTCACTAATTTGAGGAGAGTACAGTTTACAAACCAAATTCCAAACGGACAAACCAAACAAACTAACCTGACTGACCTTTCTACAGACTAGGGTGATGAAGAGTATTTATAGAACTCTTCTCCTAATCCCAAACATAAAATCAAACACCTTTTCCCAAACATACAAGGAAAAGGTCAAAACAAAACCCAAACACAAACCCAAACAAAATAGACCCAAAACACAAAACAAACCCAAATCTAATTCAAGTCATATTCTAACAATCTCCACCTTGACTTGAATTCTCTGTCAAATACCAGACGTACTAGACGCAACCAAAGTTGCCAGATGTACCAAACGCAACCAAAGTTGCCAGATGTACCAGATGTGATCGAAATCACCAAACTCAAACGCGATGCAAATCGCCAAACTCAGATGCAATCAAGATTGCCAGACATACCAAACTCCTCCAAATCAGTTGTACCAGAATCTCCCCTACCTCCAGATGCCCCTAAGGGCGATCAACAAATCAAAACATGCAGCAAGTCCAACCCATGTTGGGACTTGCCATGCATAACCAACTTGGTGTTATTTCCATCGATAACACCAACATCAGATTTACTTCCAACACCAAACCTGCAACTCCAAATTGACTTCTCGATCTTCATACTGATAACAACCATTCTTACTATCAAACAAACTCCAACCAAACTCCACAAAGCAAAACTTCAGTCCAGCGCCAAATTCCCAAAACCTCAACCAAAGGCTCTGATACCACTTGTCAGAACAGAAGCGTGGCAATCGATAATCCAAACCAACACGAACGAACACAAATTTAACGTGGTTCACTAACACAATGTGTGCTAGCTGATCCACGGGCAGGGGAGAACAAATTTCACTAATTTGAGGAGAGTACAGGTTACAAACCAAATTCCAAACGGACAAACCAAACAAACTAACCTGACTGACCTTTCTACAGACTAGGGTGATGAAGAGTATTTATATAAACTCTTCTCCTAATCCCAAACAGAAAATCAAACACCTTTTCCCAAACATACAAGGAAAAGGTCAAAACAAAGCCCAAACAAAATAGACCCAAAACACAAAACAAACCCAAATCTAATTCAAGTCATATTCTAACAGCTTCGTTCTAAGTCATGAGGGTTGCTCTATCGGCAAAGTAACGATCCTTCATTAACCTCTCATGTCTCCCCCTCCCCCTCTTGAACTCTAACTAGAGCCCTATTTAGAGCTTTTCTATTAGGCCTTACAAGGAGAGAAAATCGTTCCTACTGCATCATTTGACCAATCAGAAGCCTCCAAACACATGGCCAACGAATCAGGCTGCTTCTAGAGAACTTCTTGATGTAGTGGTGGACTCCAGCAAAACGGCGCTGCTGGAGCCTTTTCTGTAGCAAAAATGGCACCGTAGGCGCCTTTATTCAACAATGTCTAGTATTTAAATTCTTTCTCCAGCATCTTGGGCCCGATGTCCCTTATAGATTCCAAGTGGCCCACTAGATTGTTCCCCCTAAAAATGCACAAAACGCTACTCTAAATCACATAAATCGTATAAAAGCAATCCTAGG